ATTATATCTAAAAATATATAAAAATATCTAAAATACTGCTGGAACCTTACAATTGGTACTCAAATCAAGGTTTAATTACACTGGGCACAATGGCAGAGGCTACCAGATCCGATGTAATGTTGGAAACACACAAGAGGCTGATGGAGTAGAAGCTACATGAGGAAATTGATAGAAGATAGGTCATTGAAGCTGCATTTAAGAACCAACTCACCTCATATCTCAAACTATTGAAGATGGACAAATCAAGGCACACAAAAATCTTGAAATGATGCAGTTCCAAATGGCCAAACTAGCTAAGAGAATGGAGTTCTATCACAAGGATAAATCGATTATGGCCAATGGGTCATCCTCTTCAGGTAATACAGCGAACCTGTAGCTGCTACACCCGAAAATACCTATAAACCACACATTGAAGTACGGATGCATAGAGGCCACGATATGGTGGAACATCATGACCAATTTTCACTAGGATTTAACTCTAGTCCTAGAACAGACTTCCCAAAATTTGATGGCTCAAACCCTAGAAATTGACCCCTAGGGTATGATGGATATTTCCAGCTTATCCCTAACATCCCTGAGAATCATAAGGTCATCATAGCTTCATTGCACATGGAGGGTAAGGCAATCACTTGGTTCAGTCAGTTGTCACAAGGGACTAAGAATTTAGAGTGGAATCAGTTTGTAGGATTAATTACTTCAAGATTTGAGGAACTACATGAGGGGAAACTATTGGAGGATCTCCTCAATCTAAAGGTGACCAGATCATTGGAAGAATTTATTGAACAGTTTTAGGAACTGAGGTGTTATATGCTAATCTTAAACTCAATAAATTATGATGAGGCATATTCCATTCATTGTTTCATGAATGGACTGCCAGGAGAGGTTAAGATTTTTTTTCTCGTTATTCAAGTTTGAAGGACTAGCTTATCTTATTGATATGTCCAAGAAGCAAGTGGTCACCATTGAATCAATAGCTAGGAGACACCCATAAGCTTACAAACCACCCATACCGTATTCAACAACCCCCAAGAAAGTATGGTAAAATCCAGCACTACTACCCCCAAACCCTGTTCCAAACACAAACCCAAAACCTATAAATCTCAACCCACAGGCTCCTCTTATACCACACAAGAAGACCCTAACATTTGTTGAGATGAGAGCAAAGAGGGAAAAAGGACTTTGTTACAACTGTGGTGAAACCTACGCACAAGGTCTTAAATGCAAACAAAGCCACATCCATATGATTATGACTGAAGAGGAAAAGTTGGCGCACTATTCTGCTCTAGCATAACAAGGGTCTTATGAAGATGAGGAGTCTGCAGAGGAAGTTCATGTATCCCTTAATGCTTTGTTGGGACAGACATGGGTCAACACCATTAAAGTAATTGGAAATTGGGGAATACATAACTTAATATGCTTTTTAACACATGATCAACTCACAGTTTTGTAGCTGAGGACTTGGCTAAGGATTTAAACTGCACTGTGAGTGGTGCCACAGCACTGATTGTCACTATGGAAAATGGTGGTAAAGTGATTAGCAACAAGGTGGTGGCTGATTTCAGTTGGGAGGTACAATGAGTTGTTTTCAGTTTCCTACTCAGGACTACAATTGGATGGCTACCATATCATACTAGGTTACAATTGGCTGCTCAGTTGTAGCCCCTTGGTGTTTGACTAGAAGGCCAAGTGTATTGAGGTACAAGCTTCAGACAGAAGGGTGATGATCACTGATGCGAAGACTAAGGTAGATTGGAAGTTAATATCTATTGATTCTTTCTATAAACTGGTACATAGAGGGCAACCAGGAGATATTAGGGAGTTTTTTTCTCCACATGACTCAGTGACTCCTTCCAGTTCTAATATCATCGTGGAGAAGCTCCTCACTAATTACCAAGATGTGTTTGAGGAACCTAAAGAGCTGCCACCAGTTAGAGGAGTGGAGCACCACATTATCCTTAAACAAGATTACATACCTAAGCAGTTGTGTCCCTATAGATACTCTCACTCAACTAAGAATGAGATCGAGAAAATTGTACAGGATATACTGGATCATGGCATTATCAGACATAGCCAGAGTCCATTTGCATCACCTTCCTTGTTGGTTAAAAAGAAGGATGCTTCCTGGAGGATGTGTTGATTATAGACATCTCAAAACTCTCACAGTGAAGCATGATTACCCTATTCCTGTGATTGATGAACTTTTAGATGAGCTACATGGGGCAAGTTGGTTCACTAAAATGGTTTTAAGGTCAGGAAACTTTTAGGGAAGGATGAGGGAGGAGGAAATCTACAGACAGCATTTAAGACACACCATGGACATTTTGAATTTTTGGTTATACCTTTTGGAATGTGCAATGCTCCTGCAACATTCCAGTCTTCAATGAACCGGGTATTCTCTAACCATCTAAGGAAGTTTGTTTCGGTGTTTTTTGATGACATTCTAGTTTATAGTAAGAGTTGGGAAGAACATTTACATCACTTCAATTTTACCTTAGCATTACTAAGGCACCACAGTTTGTTTGCCAAGAAGTCCAAGTGTCAGTTTGGGCAAATTTATATTGAATACCTAGGCCATATCATCAATGGAGCAAGGGTTGCCACTGATCCCTCTAAGGTGCAAGATATGGTTGATTGGCCAAACCCTAAAACATTGAAAGGATTGAGGGGTTTTCTAGGTTTAACTGGTTATTACATAAAATTTATTCAAGTATATTAGATGATTTGCAAGCCACTTACAGACATGCCGAAGAAGGGGGACTAAGGCAGCAAAACAAACTTTCATACATCATAAGGCAACTATGGTTTCATCACTAGTCCTAGCCCTGCCAAATTTCTCTAAGTTTTCATTGTGGAGACAGATGCCAGCTCCATTGGTCTGGGAGCTGTCCTGATGCAGGACTGAAAGCCAATTGTCTTCCTCGGCAAGGATCTGAGTCCCAAGAACCAAGCTCTCTCTATTTATGAGAGGGAGTTTATAGCTGTTCTTATGGATGTAACCAAGTGGAAGCACTATCTCCAAGGTCACCATTTTACCATAAGAACAGATCAACAGTATATATAATGGAACAAAAGTTTACTTCTACTCTACAACAAAGGTGGATCCCCAAACTAATAGGGTTGAATTATGATATTGAGTATAAGAAAGGTGCTGGGAATAAGGTAGCTGATGCACTTTCTAAAAGCGACCATGAGAAGGTAGAATGTGTTGCTATTACTATTGTTCAACCAAAGTGGATGACATAAGTGATTAATATCTATGAAGCTATGAGGGGATTACTAAGAGCATAGCTGCTAAACAGGTTGACACTCAATCTTATCCTTATTATTCAGTGGTGCAGTGTGTGCTGAGTTTAAGGGTGGAATTTGTATTGGAGAGTCTTCTAAGTTGAAACTCAAATTGCTTCAAAGTCTACATGACTTTGCTGTCAGTGGGCACTCAGGGATGAATGGCACTTATCAGACAGCCAAATATCTGTTCTATTGGCCTAGGCTTAAAACAGAAACTAGAGAATATGTTCAGAGTTCTAATGTATGCAAAATGGCCAAACATGAGACCAGTCCATACCTAGGTTTGTTAAAACCATTGGAGATTCCACAGGGGACATGGACACACATCTCAATGGACTTTGTGAGGGTTTGCCCAAGTCAGAGGGGAAGAATGTCATCTTGGTAGTGATTGACATGTTCACTAAGTATGGGCAATTTTTACCCCTATCCCATCTCTATAGTGCCAAAAGTGTTGTTAAGTTATTTCTGGACCACATATTTAAACTACACGGCCAACCAATTAGCATTGTGACAGATGGGGATAAGGTTATCACTAGCCAGTTTTGGAATTAGTTGTTTCAATTACTGGGTACTAGGTTGGATTTTACAACTGCTTATCACGCTCAGAGTGAACGAGAAACTGATAGATTAAACCAGTGTTTGGAAAACTACCTAAGGGTTTTCACCAGTCAACATCCTTCTAGATGGATGAAGTGGCTCACAATGGCAGAGTATTGATACAATACTAATTACCATACAGATTTGAAAATGTCTCATTTTCAAGCTTTGTATGGGCAGAAACCCCCATATCTTACACTGGGAATCTACCTCGACTCAACCAATGCAGATCTGGAGACCCTTATCAGAGACAAAGCCCTGGCTTTGGAATTAATTAAAGAAAATCTATCTCATGCTCGAGAGGTCATGATTTGTTTTGCAAACAAAACCATGTTGAATGAGAGTTTGAGGTTGGAGATGAAGTCTACCTCAAACTACAACCTTTCTGCCAAAACTTAGTTGCTCAGCGCCGCGGTTTTAAGCTTGCTAACTGTTGCTATTGACCCTACAAAATCACAAAGAGAAATGGTAAGGTTGCTTACAGATTGTCATTACCACCAAATTCAAAGATTCATGATGTTTTCCATGTCTCACTACTGAAAAAGAAGATCAGTTTGAAGTTCTTACCAAGTCCAGATTTGTCGTTCGTGGATAAAGATGGCACCTTTATTTCCGTTCCGAGCTCTCAAATAAAACTTAATCTCGCGAGACGATCTATCGGTCCCTCAACTCTTGATTCACTGGCGCCCTACATTGACTGAAGATGCTACCTGGTAAGATCTTGCAGATATTCGGGCCAAATTTCCAACCTTTAATCCTTGAGGACAAGGATTGGCTTATCGGGGGTAATGTAAACCCAAATCGATTTTTGTAACAGCCCGTATTTTTTTATTCCAATTCCGATTTCGGGCCTCAATATATACTTAATTAAGTTTGGGTACTAATTTATATATTTGAGAAAGGAAACAATAAAGAACAAGGAAAGGTGGAGGGCCTAAATGCAATAACAGAAAAACATAACCAATCTTACTCGTTCGTGTATTTATACGCGTTTCATGTTCTCTCCTCTCTCATCTCTCTCTCTCTCTCTCTCTCTCTCTCTCTCTCTCTCTCTCTCTCTCTCTCTCTCTCTCTCTCTCTCTCTCTCTCTCTCTCTCTCTCTCTCTCTCTCTCTCTCTCTCTCTCTCTCTCTCATGATAGCTCTCTCTCTCTCGCCTGCTCTCTCTCGGTTCTTGGCTGAAATCCTAGAAATTAGTTGGAGAAAAATAAAATTCATGCAAGAGGTTTAGAGGAGTGGAGGTATATGAAACAAATTTGAGGTTGTAATTGGAAATCCCCAATTCAAAATATCGACAAAAATAGGGTTGTGTGAACGAGGGGTTATAAAGATCAGATCACATCGTTTGAAAGCTTGGGAAGTCAGCTTTCTAGTGGTGGTGGCCTACGGCGGTGGTTGCATCAGATGGTCGCCGGAATCGGGCGAAGAAGACGGCTAGCTGTCCAGAAATCGAATTTCAGCCTTTGGCTCTTTAAAGAGTTAATTGAACGGAGGCCTTAGAGGAAGAATCTCGACAATCAGGAACCACGGTTAGAAACCTTGAGAAGTAAGACTTCCATAGGTGCATGTTCTCGGTTGTATTCATCGGTGGTGGTCGCCGGAATTTGGCGAAAATCCTAGCTGCTCACCGGAACTTTAGGGAAAGAAAACCTGCTGCCGCACCTGTTTTCAGAGCAGAATTTGGAGGGTTTGGAGTGCGAATTTGGGAATCATTCCTTGACGAAACTCATAGAGGAACGTGAGAATTATAAGTAAGTGTTAAATTGCTTCTAATTCGAGCAAGTTTTATAGACTTTTAGAGATGAGAATTAGACGGTAGTGAGTCTGTCAAAAACAGGGCAGTTTTGAGTATTCTTCTTACGGGGCCGTTTTTGCTATGTTGAGCTAATAATTTGGGTTGTGTTTCTTCTGAGAATTTGTAGATTAAATTGTCAGTTTTTATTTGGTGCATTATTTGGTCAATTTGGACAACAATAAAAATTGTTATGATTTTTCCAAATACATTGTGCCAGCAAATGCAGTTGTTTTAAAACCTGACAGTTTCGTGCAATCATCTTCCGGGGCTGTTATTTCTGTGTTAGGCTGATAATTTGGGCTCAGGGTATTCAGTAAACCTGTAGATACAAATGTTATCTTTAATTCAATATATCGTTTAGATTATTCGGATAAGGAAGGTGATCGTAACGATTGTTCAAATAAGTTGTGGCAACAAGACATTCGTAATAAATGTTTCAAGAAATTGACTATGTGATATAGTGGAATAATACGGTTATATTAGCATTTGGAATCTTGTTAAGTGATGAATATTTTTATAGGTATCGACCGTACTAAAGCTCTCATTCAAGACTTGAGCATGACTCGAGAGTAAGATGTATTTATAGCACTTGCATTGGACTCCAGATGAGGATCTCTATTTCTTCATTATTATTCTTGAAAACACAAAATGCACACTGAGAATAAGATATGCGTTATTGCTTCTTGATCACTTAAATGTGATATATCTTACTTGTTGCCTATCGTATTATATTTTGATTCTTGAATTGTTGAAAATAATGATTTATTCGGAATCCTCTTGATGGTTCGTATCTCCTTCCTCGAACTATTCAAATAAGTTATCATCTTGATTCAAAACTTATTCCAATAATTTATCATCCAGATTCTTTGGCTACTCAATTGAGTTCGTTTATTGACCTTGAATAAATCAACGAGTTTCAATCGGATTCTCTATAAATTTTGAGTCGTTTCACATCTTGACTTGTATACTAGTTGGAACCACTTCTATTATGAGTCATTAAATCATTTGATTTGTTTCTACAGTGGTTCGATGAACGTAGATCGTTCTTTTCCCAACTCTTGGACCACTTAGGATTATTTCGTTTCGTACCCACTGTGAATTGATGGATCGTTCATATCTTGACTTCTCATTGATCCATTGAAACCACTTGTCTTTCGAGCTATACAACTATAGATTCAATTTTAAGCTAAGACTATTGTTGATTGAGATCCATCTTCATCAATTGTTATACGATCTTGAATTGTGGTCACTCTCTTATTTATTGAAACCATTGATCGACCCTTCTTGACTTGTGATTTTGTGACCACAAGATATTATCATTTGTTATTGGAATCCCACAATCATTGAACTGTGATATTGGTTCTTTCCAAAGTGGAATTCATTATTGGGATTCAAACTGTAAATTGAGATAGTCGGAAGCATATCCGATATCTATATATGATTGATTCCTTTGAGGACGCCCTAAGGATAATTGACCAGTTGGGCCCGGGTTTTTCGAAAAAAACTGTTGGGCGGTATTGGGCCGACGGGATATGGTCTCATCGACAGTACCCATATTGGATCTAGACCATTGGCATAGTTGGAGGTTAACTGTGCTGATGGATGGATCGGCATGCGCCCGGGCATGCCTATTGATCGATTAACAGAGTAGCACGATGATCGGTGTTATAAGGTAGTTACGGCTAAGGGAGTCATAAGGAAGGTACAAGTACATGAACAAATTGTTACCATGGGAATCTCTATGGTCTCATATTTGATATCCAAAATTGTTATCGTGGGAATCTCCACGAATTCATAATTGATATCCGGGAATTACCCGTTGAATATTGTTCTTTACCTGTACATATTGATTTATTCTGATCCTACTGATGTGCCTTATACTTTGGCCTCTTATTCCTTATCGAACGATCATTTTCTAGATGGTCCAGTTCTAACTCCAATTCCAAGTTGAGCACTTATATTGTGACTATTATTTGATTCGACTGTTTTTCCCTTGTACTCCTCACTAACTCCATTTGGACATACTCCTCCTATATTTTCCTTCTTATTCTCAGTGTCAGGTGCATTAGTGGACAATTATGTTGAAAGCTCTTAGAAGTAAAAGTTATTCAGAGATTTTAGAGAGTTTAATCTAGTGTTGTATATAAGAATGATTGTAAATCAAGAACTATGTATACAAGATTAGTTGTGAGCTTTGGTTTCCACTTGTATTTGATTTTATTGTTGAGAAATTAAGTGAGAGACATTGTATTTATCGGAAGTCATTGTATTTAATTATTGTATAAAAAAAAGTTACAGTGTATTTCGGTAGTGAGCGTCACAATTTTGAAGAACAGAAAAAATGGTATTGGAACAAAGAGGCAAAAGAAATTCAGGGGCTAGAATTGGGGGTTGAGTTCCAAAAAAGATAGGGGATTTGGGGATATCGCTGGGTGGAAATGACGCCGTTGGAAGTCACGCATCTGATGGGCTGGGAAGTAAAGGGCTGTATGAAGAAGACTGAAATTGAAGCTGGTGGGCCGCATGTTGGGCCGCTCATGGAAGAGGATTCTGGAAAATAATCTGAAGAAAAAAAAAAAGACAGTTGTTTAGTTTTTATTTTTTGATTAAAATAGAATATTTTCTTGTATGTTCTGAACCGTTAGTATTTGTACTGCTTTCTGGGAAGAAGATCAATAACAATTAATTCAGTATCATTTTCTCTCCCTTGTTTTCTCTCTCCTCTCTAACACTTCTTCTTCCCAAATCCTTCCTCTTATCTCATTCATATATACAAAAATATACATAAATAATATCTTAAAATATCAAAAATACTGTTGGAACCTTACACTTACAAATGATGTCCCTACTCCTATTTATACTTGGCCACCTCCTTAATGGATGGTGGAGATCTATTTAATCTAAGGGCTAGAAGTTGTTCACTAGAACACTCCAAAGAATTCCTGCAAAATCTCTACAAAGGGAGGGTTCTAGAAAGTTTTCTAGAATCCTCTAAGAATCTCTACTAAGTCTATTTATATTCAGACCAACTTGGGTCTAACCCTATTTGGGTTTCTTTAACCTCTCTAACCCAAGGGAAACTGTCAAAGGGTTGGTCCAAAACTGACGGGCAGTGACAGGCGGCTCCATTCTCTCTCCTGGTGAGGTCGCCTCGACAGCTGGCGACTTCTTTCTCTCTCCATCATTTTCCATCACCCACCCCACTTGCCCCACTTCTCTGATAGAAATAGAATTAATACTATTTACTTCTACTACCAAGTACTGCTTATTATCTCCCTTCTTTGTAATTCAACCCCTCCCCCCTCTCTCTCTCTCTCTCTCTCTCTCTCTCTCTCTCTCTCTCTCTCTCTCTCTCTCTCTCTCTCTCTCTCTCTCTCTCTCTCTCTCTCTCTCTCTCTCTCTCTCTCTCTCTCTCTCTCTCTCTCTCTCTCAATATACTTCAAGAAGATATCTATTTTAGTTGGATTTCTTTACGCTTTTTATTTTTGTTTTCCCCATTTACTATTTTACATCATTCCTTGTCTCCTTTATCTTTGGGTCAGAGCAGCAATTTGTTAAAGGGGTTTGTACCATAAATCCCCAAGTGAAAACATAAAACACGAGTCAGTTCCCAGCCACTTTTGACAAGCGGGTCAGTCCCTTCAACAAACATAAACATGCAGTTCAATTCTAGTCCCACTTAATTTCACTTGATACACTCTCCCTCCTCTCTCCTCTTTCTTCCCTTTCTTCTCTTCTCTTTCTCTGTCCTCTCTTTTTTCTCATATTCTCTGTTACTAATTTCTTCTTCCCCGACAGTGAAAAAAAACTGAATTTTCCCACAATGGCGGCAACTGGTGAATCAAACCCCCTCCAAAATGGTATTCTTAGAAGTTGTCGGTACCAAGATAATCTACACATCAGTTCCGGTAAGAATGATTCGACTTTAAGGGAGATCTATGAGTCTGTCATAAGGAAGTGGGACGATATCCATCTCGACACACTGGTGCTCCAATACTTGGCTCCTCGTGAAAGAATGTTTGTCACGCTGAGCTTGTGACGAAGACGTGGTGAATATGGTGGTTACATTGCATTTGATAATGCATATGAGTGTGGTCGACATATCCAAAAACAGGTATGGCCTTTCCAGAATACTGTTGCAGTTCACATAAAATAAAACAATGATTAATGTAAAACAAGTAATACAACAGCATCGCGTTGGTTTACAAATGGGACATTTCCATAATGAAAATGCATAAATCAAATTGTTACCTTGTCTAGTGTGAGTTCACCAAAAACATGTTTAGCTTGGCGTTCATCGGCTGGTATTTTGTAGTCGAACCAAAAAGTCTAGGGTATTCAAAAACACTTATTACTTACATCAGCGAAGTGATCATTTCGCTCACCCATGCCAATAATCCAATGGTGCAAGCATAAAAACACCATGGTGCTCCGGTCAAGTGTGCCTCAATGTATTTAATAAGCACATCATATACCAGTTTCCTCCATGCAAAATCTCCTACTCGCACCAGTTTGTCAACGTCCGGATAAACATACCTTGGCATTGAAATTTACTCTTTGGCAATAAGAAAGTATTGCAAGAAAAAATATTGAACAACCTACTAAAATCCTCAATGGATTGTTGGTCGGTCTTACCCGCATACTCCTCCAATTTTTCAACAATCTGATGATGCTTCACTTGAGTCAATTTACCCCAAGAAATACGTCGAATGAAAGGAGTTTCTATTTCCAGGCATATATCGATGACTACCCCCTTAAACTGCAATCCCATCATAATGCTAAACTCCCTAGTGTCAAATAAGACGGAGATAGTTTTACTTCCAAACCAGAATGTACATTCCTCCACGTTGTACTTCTTCTTCAATAGAACTGACACATTTAAGAAACTATAGTACATCTTAGGCATGTTTAGGAAGTGCCCGAAATGATTTTCCTCCAAGGAAGCAAAATGTCTGGCCTTCATGATTGGCTTAATTATGTCCATTTCTTCTTTGAAAGCTCCAGGAGAGCACCTGCAAGCTTGTTGTGCGTCATCCTCAGCAAATGTAATATGATTATAAAGAAATAATAATAATCAACAAAAATACAATTGTAAAATAATAGCCGTACTAGGTTGTTATAGTAATTGTACGTGCATTCATCTGTCTCAACACTATACAACCACATTAACTATACCATTATACAATACAATATATGTTATTTACTTACATCAGAAGAAAGTCCATTACCTTACTTTGATACCATCTAACAATAATAGCACTACCATTGTATAATACGACTTACATTATTTAAACACATCTATGTCAAAAATCAAACCCTTGTTAGGACCAAAAATGATTTGGGGAAATACTAATGTGCCAGACGAATGATTCCCAAGAGTGAAAGTGTTCAAAATCATGCAATTCAACAGCAAATGAACAACTTTTGCAAACATAAACAAGACAACAACATATATTGGAACCATTTGGTTGATTTTTATTTGATAAAACCCCAATCTCACCGATGGATACTACCCACTACTGGAAATGTTCAAAATCATTCAATATGAGAACATGCAGTTTTTTTTTTTTGCAAACCTAAGCAAAAAAATAAAATAAAAACAACAAATTTCAGAATTGATTTCTTAAAAAAAAAATAGTAAACCTTGTTTCTCCTTCCCCTTCTTTGCCCGCACAATTTTTCTTCTTCGAAAATGATCACTTTTCTTTCATTTGTTGCCTTAATGTTTTCCTCCTCGTTGTGGGTAATTATACAAGCAAAAAACACTAAAAGATGGGAATAACCGCTTAGGAAGAACTGCTTAGAAAATGGTTCGAAAATGAAATGGCAACGCATAGTTGAAAAGGTGTGGAGCGTGTCTCCCAAACGGCGCGTTAAAAGTGTGTGGAAAGGTGTGTCCGACATCTGCAGGTAATTTCAAAATAAAGTGAAAGGTGTTTCGGACTTTGCACACAGAGGTAGGGAGTTAACTGCATGTTTATGTTTGCTTTAGGGAGTGATACACTTGTGAAATGTGGCTGGGGACAGACTCGCGTTTTATGTTTGCACTTAGGGATTTATATGTACAAAGTACAAACCACTTTGTTAAAGTATGGGCAATGTTTGTTGCAGGATCCAAGAAAAGCTTGATCACAATTTCCCACTCCTCTCAGAATTCTCTTATTCTTGGAATAATTTGGCTCTCTCTTTTTATTTTTATTTTTATTTTTTTTCCTTCCTGTTTTGGCATAAAATCAAATTAAAGTTAGATTGAAAATGAAATTGGGGTCATGAAATAGGACAACCTCCTTATATTAATAGTACCAAAACCCTTTCTTTAGAATTTATTTTACTTAGTCCATTTGTCCTAATTCTAAACCTGACTTTACACTTTGGTCAATTCTTTAACCTTATTCTTACCTATAAATTTAGGCTTCAATTATTTGGCAAAATGTGCATCAATTTTAGCTTGAATATCAATATGAAGAAGCTTTATGGGATAGTTGTGTTCCTATTACTCTTGATCGTAAGCGCTCTCCTTCCTTCTTCGTGATTGTGGATTTACTAGAAATCTTCTATATCTACGATTTCTGTCGATTTCGATCTGAATTTTTTTGACCTTCCAATTTTATGATTCTTTTTTTCTGGATTCCCTCATTGTGTAACTCTTCCTTATGTAAATTTATACTTATTCATCAATGTAAGTTAAATAGTTTTGATTTATATATACTTATTTATTATGGCCCTTTTTTTGGCATTTTTTTAATCTAATTTGATTCTGTCTTATATACATAAAATAAATAAATGCAGATGAATCGATGATACACAGTGAAGCAAGAAACTGCTACTCAAGGAGTAGGGCTTCTTTAGAAACCACAAAATTAATTGCAAGGCAATGTGCAAGGAGGAAATATTTACAGCTGACAGATGCAAACGTGGAACTTGCTATTGCACCAAAACATGTGGCGGTGGAGGAGGTGGCCCCACCACCCATCATGGGCGGAACTTAAGAGGGGCAAGAGAGGGCTGTGGACCTCGCTTAAAATAATAATTAAATTAATTACTTATTTTTGCTTCATTTTTTTATGAATTACTCTAAAAAAATTAGGGCTGGGGGCGATGCCCTCGAACCCCAAAAAATTAATCTCCCTCCATTGTATCATTTTATAAAAACCCATCAATCTCATCCTCATCCTCCTCTACCATCTAACGCCACCGGAGAAGATGGTGGAAATGAGGAACTTCCGGCCAATGCTGGAACTAATGACAGTGGGGCTGAGGGTGGAGATGCACCTCCGTCCCT